TTGTTTACATTTTATGAGGTCAATGACCCTTTTGTTTACATTCTCCGAGTTCAATGAACTCTTTGTTTACATTTTATGAGGTCAATGAACTTTTTGTTTACATTTAGCCAAGTCCACAACCTTTGTTTACATTTAGCCAAGTCAACAACCTTTGTTTACATTTGGGTTCATTGACCCTTTTGTTTACATTTTGTGAGGTCAATGAACTCTTTGTTTACATTTAATGAGGTCAATGACCCTTTTGTTTACATTCTCCGAGTTCAATGAACTCTTTGTTTACAATTTATGAGGTCAATAAACTTTTTGTTTACATTTAGCCAAGTCCACAACCTTTGTTTACATTTAGCCAAGTCAACAACCTTTTTTTATATTTGGGTGTGGACCTGGCTAAATGTAAACAAAGGTTGTGGACTTGGCTAAACGTAAACAAAAAGTTCATTGACCTCGGCAAATGTAAACAAAAGGGTCAATGAACCCAAATGTAAACAAAGGTTGTGGTCTTGACTTAATCTTAGCAAAGGGTGTGGAATTGGTTAAATGTTTTAGTTGGTCGGTATTAGGTCTGGAGATCTCTAAAGACCAATGACCGCGGTAAGGGTCGCAGAGACAAACTCCGCGGCTGTCAATTCTCCTACTTAGCCAGCTTAAGTCCAGCTATAGGCATATTTATAAATCACCAAACCGTAAAATTCGAAAGTTTTCCGCTGATGTTGCCACTGCTGCCGCACTGCAACTTACACATATTACTTACAATTTGTTAATGCTACGACTTCAGTGTTGTTTTGTAACTAATTTCTTTATTTTGTATAATTTTATTTTATTTTTTTCTTCACGCCCATTGCAATCGCATTTACGCCGCCGCCGAAACCGTAGACACCGCGTATCATTACCACCAATCGATTTCGCGCCCACATTAGACGCAGCGCTTATTGTAATCGTTGTTGTAGCTGGTGTTGAAGTATTGGCGGCTGACAAACTGTCCGATCAATCGACGTAATATCAGCTTCGACGCCGACCACAATGTTGCAACTTGTGCGTGACGCATTGCGAAAAAGCGCTGATTTGATGATAAGTAAAAATAACACACACATGAGTCCGCATATCTAAGGCAGCTAGGCAGAAAAGGTACGGAACGGTTATGGGAAAGTGCACTGTATGAACTATAATGGACAGCCGGGCGTTGAATTGATGCGTAGTGGGAAGTTGTTACGCATAAAACGCAACAAAAATTATGTGAGTACCGAAAGAAAATGTATTTATTGGCACTTCCCTGAAAATAAATAATATGAAAAAAGCGCATGCGGAAATCGATTCGAAATGTCTTTAAGTGTTGTGTGAGAAAAATAATTGAATAAGACCTGACATACCGGTTGTTTGGGTTGTTGAGGCGAGTAAATATTTCGAAAAATGCAAGGAATGTATTGAATAAGTTTTGCTCATTTTTTGGCTCAACTTTAGAATTGCGCCACTCTCAAGGCTCTCAAGTGATCCTCAGAAACCGAGTCTAGCGTACAGCGGTGGAACTCAGAGCTAGCTATTATGACTTGTAAAGATTTATTGGAATTATTCCAGTAATCATCAATATAAAATTTCCTTGAAAACGACGATCGAAAAATATTCTAAAGGTTTGGTCTTAGTGAATTTTTCGTAAAATATAAGATATTTACAGATCAAATAATTGTTGAAATATAATTTTAAGGCAACCGCGAACGCAGTTTTTATGAGAATTCATATTTAAAATTTTCCAAACTGTATTTAAACGATCGCAAAAGTGTTTTGTCTTATACCGGCGGAATTTCGTGGAAACAAGAGAGGAATATATCTTGAGTCAAAGCCATTAGAGATAAAATTTTTTTATATGCTTATATAGTAAATAAAAAAAATATATATAGTCAAATAAAAAAAAATTACAAAATAAAAAAAAAATAAACACAAAATTACTTAATAAAAAAAATAAAAATTAAAAAATTAATAATAAATGAAAACAAATAAGGAAATAAAAAAAAATTAGGAAGGAATTACAAAATTTAAAAATAATAATTAAAAAGAGAAAAAATTAAAAAAATTGATAATTAATAAAAATAAATTTTTTATATGCTTACTATACAAATTAAAAAAATATATATAAAATTAATAAAAAATTACTAAATAAAAAAAGTTAAATAAAAATTAATTATAAATATAAATAAAAAAATTAATAAAAAAATTAAATAACAAAAAGAAATTTCAAAACTTAAAAACAATAAGAATTAAAAAAAAATTTTGTTTAAATAATAATTAAAAATAAATGTTTTATATGATATACATATATATTAGAAAATAAAAAAAATATATAAAATTAATAAAAAATAAATAAAAATTAAAAACTTAATAAATAAATTAAAAAAATATAACATTTAAATAAAATTAAAATTAAAATTGTTTAATAATTATAATATTAATTTAAAAAAAATTAATAATAAATAAAAAATAAAAAAACAAAACTAATGCAAAATTAAATTAAGAAAAAATTAAAACACAATTAATTAAAAAAAGAAAAAATTAATAATAAAAAAAATTAAATTAAATAAAAAACAAAAAAAAAACGCATAAAAATATATGAAATAATTTTAAATAATTGTTTTGAAGATTTATTGCTGAAATTTATTTTTAAATTAATTATATTTTTGGATAATTACAATACTTATCTACTTCTAAGTAAACAAACTTAAAATTTCGCGTTGAACAATGTGAAACTCGTCATCAGTGTCGCAGAAAACTCTCTTTCCGAAATTAAACACTAAATTCGTTGCACGTTCTATAGAAATGTAAATAAAAGCACATACACTCACACATAAAAGTCATGCTAA